GGCGGCTAGCAGCCGCATCCTGTAAAAATAAACACCACTGCTACACAAACTTCAAGCCACTAGCTTGAAGCTGTCGTAGCTATGTCCCACGGAGGAACGTGAAGGAAAGAAGAAGATAAAAAGAACACAGTGGCCCAGGAATTCTATACTTATTGATCAACGAATTATTATTGTTATTAGCCAAGTTAGATGGCTTTAAATTGATGAATAAAACCAGATCTCCCGGGCTTAGATTTGATTAAACGGTGTTCGCTACTGTGGTGAGAGCTGACTGTTAGTCAAAATTGGTGGACATTAATTTACGTCAATGTTTATGTCCCAAATATTGATCGTGAGAAGAATGAGAAGAAAGGCTTTGCGTAGGCGGATACAGTTAACATATATAGATGATCTGAAATTCAAGAAACAGCAGCCACAAAGAGATGCAATGTTAACTTTCTGTGAGAAACAACCACGAATCAGAAGACTGATGTTTTTCTGCTAACAATAATCTATGATTATATGTACACGAAAATCTATGAATGTGTTGATTTCCTTAATAAACGATCTGTTGCCTGGCCTTTGTCTTCTTTTATTACACAGCATTAAATGTCTCTTATCTTCTGTGTACTGAAACATCAATTAATTATAAGTCGATCAATACTTCTTTTGGCTTTCTGGCTTCAACATATACATCTTACAACAACAATTTCATCATCATCAGGAATAGTGAGAAGTAGTAACCTGTAAAACACTGATAAGATAGATGGATAATCAATTAATTAGTCACCACTTAAAGCTTTCTACACAAACAAATAAACATGCCTGCATACATACGCACGCACGCATGCACACACACACACACGCTAACATTCTTCGTGTCGACCAAAATTGTTATGCGTGTAAAAGAGAAAAATCAAGAAATAAAACTTGCGTATTTCCTAATTCACGCACAATATTGGATTTCACACCTGAGCACACACGCACGCACACATACATAGAGACGAACATTTACACACACACAGACACCTTGTATTACAGTCAATTATTACTTGGAAAACAAGTGTATAGAAAACACCTACACATAGCTATGAAAATAATAATAATAATAATCTCCGAATACAAATTATATCGAAGCCTATTATGTTTTTGATGTGGTTGTGTTCTCTGAGCTGGATGGTTAATTTGCGAAGCTTTCATCACCCTACTGGGTGACATCTTCAGCGCGTACTTCAATTCGTTGAAGTGAACTTTTAGATTTCTCCACGAGTTTATTAATCATCTCTTCCAGTCGGTGACCTTGGACGTGACTGGTTGTTTATGTACTTTTTCAGAATGCTAAAGTTAACCGAGTCAATCATCATCCTAGATGACTGAACATTAAACCAATCAGAGGCAAAATATCAAGGTCTGTTAAAAGTTGACCTTCAGGCACCAATCAGATTTAGGCCAACGCTAACATAAAAAAAGTCATTCCATATCAAATCATTCCCACGTTTATAGATTTTGGTGAATAATTTTTGTGAAGAGAAAGTAAATCTACACTTTTAGGTAAGGTTAATTAAGGTGAAGGTTGGAATAGGTTAAAGAATACCAGTCACAGGAATATCAATAGACGGTCGAAGTACCATGACCTACAGACATCTAGATGAATACATTTACCCATGAATTATATCTTTGATGTAATTTGGAGACAATCTTACAACATAAGAGAGACAATTATTCGGTGTCATATGAAATGTTTGTTTTTTGAAAATACTTGCTCAAAACGATTAAGCGATTTTTTTGTATCTAAATTCTGATTGGTTAGAGTACACGGTCACTAGGATGTGTTTGGCGATGATAGCTTAACTTCCCCACCCCCACCCCGAAAAGATCTGCTAAGACAATAATCTATCATCAGATTAACCCATCTGAGGATGAATTTCAGCCCCGACCCTCCCCCCAAGTATAGTGGAGGTATGTAGATGACATATTCACCGTATTTAGAACACAGGATATGCGTAGATTTTTCGAACACATCAACTCATAGGTAGAGACAATCCAATTCACTCATAAAGCTGGACAGTTACGAAAAGAAGGAGCTTCTAATGTTAGATTGTAGCGAAAAAAAAGGAAAGAAGATGGGAAGTTAAGCGCTAGCGTGTGTTTAAAAGTAACTCAGACATTCAAACAGATATTTGGACTTCCAATCATCTCATCCTATGTTCAAGTAATAAGGCACAAAATCTAAGTAGTACCAAGGAAAATCTAAGACAGGAAGTGAGGCATATATATATATATATTGGAAAAGCTTTGAAACATAATAATAATTACCCTGATAAATTAATCAGGAAGTATTTAGGGGGAAATGTAAAAACAAAACTAATAATTGTGGTAGTGACAGTGATCACCAAATTAATAATGATAATAATAAAAATATTAATGACGACATGCAAATCAAATATGCACAGCATGATGACAACACCAACAATAAGGAATTGAAATCATCATCAGTAGTACTTCCATACAAAGAAGTGTGGTGAGAGATGGCTGCTAGCCAAATTGGTAGACATTAATTTACTTCAATGTTTATGTCCCAAATATATTGGTCGTGAGAAAAATGAGAACAAAGACTGATTTTGCGTAGGCGGATACAGTTAACATAGGGATGATCTGACACTCAAGAAACAGCAGCCACAAAGAGATGCAAGGTTAACTTTCAGTGAGAAACAACCAATCAGAAGACTGTGTTTTTTCGCTAACAATAATCCACAATAATATACATGAAAATTTATAAATATGTGTTGATTTCGTAAATAAACGATCTGTTGCCTGGCTCTTGTTACAGAAGGGACGCTGGGAACTTTACGTAAACTTCTTAACAATGCTTTCAAACCCCCAAATTCAATTAAAAATAAACTTTGACGGTTAAAGGATCCTGCTGTGGAGTTAATTAAACAAACAAAACAAGTTAGTTCATCTAATACCCTGCTGGATGATGATTTTCACGTCAAGGTGGTAGAATGGGGTTAGTTAGTTAGATTGACGGAGCATAAAGACCTAGAAACATCTATACTAATTGATCTTAATAATATAAGAAATATGGAGAATAGTTCAGCTACAGGAAACGCAACATGCAATTACACACAGAGGACAACATGATGGGATAAGATGACAGTCACAAAATCTAATAAAAGCAGGGTAGTGGGAGAGAGAGATTGATAAGTCTGTCTGTCTGTTTAGGACATAGAACTCTGCACAAATGTGCGCCAGTTCAAGTCGCCACACACCGTGCAGCACGCGAAGCAAGAGAAGAAAGTACAAGAAAAGCGTAATAGAGACAGTCAACAGAGGTGTGAGACAAAGGAAGAGTAATAACCAAGAACAAAACAGTTTCATTGGAGATCATAAGTCACAAGGAGTGGATGCATCTGCGTTAGCCATTGACAACGACGATTTTGAGCTAGCCATATCACCAACTGTTTCCAACCATAGAGTTTTACCGTCCAAAGGACCCCAACCAGTCAGTCAGGAAGTCTACACCTTCCTACGTGACTGGCTGGCTTAAACTAACTGTTGTGGATTTCAATGACTGATGAAGTCATCTTTTGGTTTGACCGCCGCTAGCTTTTTTCCAGCCTGACCCTATATCCGCTAACATTGCCTGTTGTCGAGGGAGGCGATGACTAAGCATGCCTACGTAACACATGTCCTAACCATCTCAGTAGATGTATCTTCACAGCCTGGTCGATTGATTTCCCCTGTTTACCTAGAACTCGACCGATGCCTAACCTCAATATTGCTCACCTTATTATACCACTTCACGCGGGAGATAGAAATCAGGCACCTATGATCAATGACAGCCAGACAGGCTTTTCATGTCTTCCACTCTCAATGACAAGGTCTCACAGCTAGCCATAAAGGAGGACGGAGCGGACTGATGAGCAATACACCCGCCCTTTGGTCGATAGTAGAACATCTCGTCTACGCCATTGTCGGCGTAAACTGGCATATGCGAAACGAGCCCCCTGTATTCGCGCTGAGATTTCGTCAGAGATCAACCCGTTGGCGATGGCTGATGGTACTTCCCAAATAAGTGAAGTGGTCAACACGCTCCACCAACCACTTAACTCCCTATTTCTAAGCTAGGAGTCAATGTAGTCCAGTCCAGTCCTGTAGCATCATCATCTTCCATTTGGCGGGAGCGAATCTCACGCCAAACATTCGCAGATTGCAGCTCAAGTTGCTTAAAAGACTCTGCATTTTGTCAGCGTCCTCGCCTAGTAGGTCTATATCGTCTGCATATTCTAATTCAACGGGATAATTCCCTCCCCTGGTAACAAGTCTCTCTCTGAATCGCTGAAGTCACTTAGGGTTAAGTCCATTAACACATCTATGATGAAGTTGAATAGAGAAGGGGATAATGACCATCCTTGACGGACACCACTGGTCGTCACCAGTTCAGATGACAACTCGCCGTAAGCCCTTAATTGGCTGGCTGTATGAGTACGAGTAGAGTGCCTTATTCAGTACAATGTAACTAAAGCTAACTATTTATCGAATTAACTGGAAATGCACGTCAGTAATAGGAATGATTCAACACCTGTCCACTTGGACATCTGGAAAAAACTTCTACTATCCCTACAGCGAATGGGAGGGGATAAAGGAAACTATGACGAAACGAAAGTTTCAAAGTTGTGTGTATAGTTAGCTATCATTGATATGAGATTATGAACAATAAATTACGTTCGAAACGTTATCTATTATGTAATACTGTTCCACTGGGATTTTATTCTAAAGTAAATAGCATTCACAGTTATGGGAGAAAATGAGAATACAGTTAATAAGTAATATATGGCGACAAAAATTTTTTTAAATTAAATGCACAACCTGGTAGAAAGAAATACAATTCCTTTTAATTGATTAATTAATTAACTATTAAAAAACATAAAAATACAAGGTAAAAATGGCGGAGAAAACAGGCAAGATTTGAAGGATAACATGTACATATATGCATACATATATATATTACAACTCACCTGAGCTATACACGACATAATACCGACAACACCAATGAAAAGCGCTACATTTTCTTCAGTAAATCTCATCACCTACACGCGGAGGTGGGAAAGAGGGAGCGTGCGGAAGAAAGGGAAAAAAAAGCAAACGTAAAATGTAGAAAAAACAAACTTTGTGAGTTCACAAGAATGCATGCAAATCAAAACAAAATGTTCGTGTATGAGATTTGCCAACTTACTTCACACCTGTGTCTCGTAGATATGATATCCAACTATTCATCAGAGAATGTGTGTGTGTGTGTGTCTGTCTGTTTTCGACATAGAACTTTACACAAATGTGCGGAAGTTCAAGTCGCTACACTCCGTGTAACACGCGAAGCAAGAGAAGAAAGTACAAGAAAAGCATAATAGAAACAGTGAGCAGAGGTGTGAGACAATGGAATAGTAGTAACGAAGAACAAAACAGTTTCATTGGAGATCATAAGTCACAAGGAGTGGATGCATCTGCGCCACTGAGAACGTGCGTCGGTGGCACAGTGGTTAGGACTCTCGCCGACCATGCACATGGTCCGGGGTTCGAGCCCACGCCGACGCACACCTGATATCTATGGTCGGCCTGCAAAATTTGGGCTACCGATATCCATGCTGAAAATTCCATACTTGTACCAAAAATACGGTGTGGAATCAAGCTGTAAATCAAAAATTAAAAAAATTAAAAAAAAATTTTGAGCCATGTCACCAATTGTTTCCAACCATAGATTTTTACCGTCCCGAGGACCCCAGCCTGGAAGTCTACACCTTCCTACGTGGCTTAGACCAATTGTTGTGGATTTCATTGAGTGGTGCCAAGTTTTTGTTTGACCGCCGCTAGCTTTTTTCCAGCCTGACCCTATATCCGCTAACATAGCTCGTCGAGGGAGGCGATGGCTTGGCATACGTACATGTGTGTGTGTACTGAGTACGGGTTCGCTGAAAATGTTAAACCTGAGAATGCCAACTTCTTTTGACAAGAGAGTTCTATCTCACGCGTGCTAGGCAGTGTAATACAGTGAATGATACACAGGTTCCACATATATGATGTTACATGAGGAGAGGAAGTCAATGGCTGAAGTTTTGAAACTACATCAACCAAAATAAATATGGTTAGATGCAGACACACAAAGAGAGGGGGTTAATCATTGAATCTTTGTTTATCGATTCAATACTACACATGTCCAATCGATATGACACAACGCCCATACGGGAGAAATGGAAGATGGCAACAAACGAAAAGGGGAAGTTGATGAGGGAGAGAGATAGAGAGAAAATATATATAAGGCAAACTATGATGGCGTGCGGGGAACCTGAAAGAAACAACCTCTTTTACCTACCCTACCTGGGAAGCATCGTTTCAACTACAGGCCGACGGAACTGACGAGGATATCAAAGCCAGAATCGGAAAAGTAAGACAAGCTTTCATTACTCTCAAGTCTGTGTGGAGGTCAACAGCCCACTCAACATGAAAATGAAAATAATATCCGGATTTTCAACTCCAATGTGAAGTCAGTCAGTGCTACTCACTGTACGGATCACAGACTTGCACTGTACATCATAAAGAGCATCTCAAACAAACTTCAGACCTTCATTAACAGTTGTCTTCGCTCAATACTACTCAAGATCAGATGGCCGATCAGAAAAGATCAGCAACACGAAGGGATCTCTGGCAATCAGTGAACCAACACAGCAGGAACCGATTGTGAAACAAATAGGCAGGAAGAAATGGAGTTAGATGGATTGGCGATACACTGAGGAAACAATCCACTAAGTGATATCACTAGACAAGCCATTGCTCGAGTGGAACAGGGCCGAAAGGGAAGCGGCGAGTTGGTCGTCAGTGCAAGGGTAGGGTGACTTGGAGGAGGTCATGTGAAGAAGAGATGAAAGCATGTGGACAGATTCGGAGCGGGATGAAAAAGTTGGCAGAAAACAGAAGGCAATGGAGACGCGAGGCTGAAGCCCTATGTTCCTCTAGGAATTAAAGGATATAATAATAATATTGGCATGTGACTAAACCGATATGAATATATGAGTAATAATTTATGCTCTGAACGTCACCCAATTATCAATACTGCATCACTGTATGATATTTGAAATAAACTTAACTTATCTAAAATGAAATCACATTCTACCATAGTGCCCGAGTCTTACAGTTACCCTAATAGCCGGACCTGATTTTGGAAAAAAGAGGAAAGTAGGGATGTGAAGTGCTAGCGACCCGACCCCCTAAAACATCAAGCCAATCTCTACAGAAACTTCAAAACACCTTTGTTAAGTATGCTGATGACCTCTCTATTTCTATGCCTGTCAACCAACTCTCAGTCAGATTGTTCTTAATTAAATAACTGTCTGTCGGAAATTAGTCAGTGGTCCTCTTCAAACGTTCTCAAGCTGAACCCGTCTAAATGTCAGGTAGTCAATTTCACTTTCAGACGTAAATGTGACCTACAGGAACTAGTTAGCTCACATGGCCCCACTATCATTGACAGCATAGAGGTTGAAAATACATCTAATGTCAAGTACCCTGAGGCTGAGTTTTTCCACCGATCATTCCTGGTCCTCTCACATCTTGGTAGTCACTAGAAAGATGTTTCGCTTAACGTTCTACATCAGGAAATTTAGGCAGTCTGGCGTAAAGCAGTCCTTGCTTTCTCAGTTTGTCAGTTCTTGTATTCTACCCATCCGTCTTTACTGCTCCCCATTAATCTTTCCTGGACTACTTAAGAAAGACTTTGCTTTCCTGAGAAGGGCAGGCACTAAAAGCCGTTAGTAGGGCAAGTGGGATATCGTTTAACCAACTGGTTAACACTATTGTGGATAGACATATAATGTCATGTAAGAAACTAGCGAATACAATATTGTCAAACCCCGAGCATCCTCTCTATACGCCGCTGTCTCCTTGCATTTCATCTAGTAGAACAAGAAGCAGCTATAGGAGGCTATATGGTAGGACTACCAAGTACAAAAACTCCACAATACCAAATCTGTCACAGCTGTTATGTGATGAGAAATCCGTTAGGTATGTGACACGATCAACTTACTGCGGCACTCTAACAAATAGTCCCGTTAGTTTTTGTTTTCCTTTCCCTGTTACTATTACACTGTTGTTCTCATCTTCTATTACACACCAATTGTATACTTCATATCCTGTGGTGCATTGTTTAAAATGTAAGCGCAAATCCGTTTCTTTTTTTATTTATCTTCCTGTTTTTGGGTGTTACTTTTCGATTTTAAAATCTTATAAAACTTATGAGATAATTAGATGCAAAATATTGTAATGCACACTGAAAATTCCATACCTGTACTACAAATACTGTTTGGAATAAAGCTGTTATCATTATTGTTAAAAAAAAAACTTTGATGGAATAGGAGAGATTGAATGATGCGGGCTGGTGAAAAACCCCACCTTTAGGTAGCCCCAGTTGATGAATACAGAAATAAACATGGTGATGTAGAATGTTAGAATGTTAACCAGGTTGTCAAAAAGAAATGAAGAGATATGGAGTAGGAGGTCTAGGAATCTGTAAGAGCAGGTGGAAGGGAATGTGAACTCTCCTGACTGTTAACGAAAGAGTCAATAATCCACTCTGGTCACCCAAACGACAATCACGAGCAGCACTCTGGGGGAGTGGCTGTCATGATATCACTAATACCAGCCGAATAATAATTAACCTCATATTGGAGATACAGGCTAAAGTGGTTTCGAAATGTACCATAAATATCATCACAATAACCATTTTGATGAGAAAGGCTGAGTAGTAAGCAACCGATGATGTCTTATTGAGACGCTTGAAGGATATAGTTGAAGTGTGTGTAGAATATAAGATTTTTCCATGGGTTTAATACCTTTATATGGCCCGTTGTATTTGCGTTCCAACGGGCGACGTACCGAATCATGATGGAGGAATTCGTGTGATGAAGATGCTACACTTTCAATACTAGAATGACAGGAGAGCGAGGTAAAGGGATCTGGATAGTCATGATCATGTTTGCTACTTTTTTGGGCTGTTCACGCCATCCATACACTATTGGTCAGTAAAACCTTCAAAGTTTCGCTACTGATAGGTGGTGATAGACTTTACAGATGACAATTGTAAAACAAAGTCTCAAGGTAAGGGCATGTCAGAAGGGAAATTGGCTCTAAATGATGTCAAAGTGCGTACCTCTCTGTCTGTCTGGATTCAACATAGAACTTCACACCGAAGTGCACCAGTTCGATTTTCCACGTTTCAAATACCACACAAAGGTACACAAGAAGATGAATGAAGAGAATCAATAGACTCTGACAAGTATAAGAGCGAAACAGAATGGGTAATGGTAGAAAGGAGGAATATGAAAGACTACAGAGACTGAATACATCTGAGCTGGCCATTGACAACGATTTTGAACCATGTCACCTATTGTCCACAGCCATTGATTCCTAGAGTCAGTCACGAGGGCCCCAACCCGGACGGAAGTCTGAATCTCCCTACCTGACCGACTCAGTTTAACTGTCAAGGATTTATTTCATGGATTGATGAGGCCATGTTTTTGTTTGGCCACCACTGGCTCTTTTCCAACCTGCACCACCTATATCAGCTAGTAATGCCCGTCGGGTGGCGGAGGCGATGGTTAGACATGCGCACCACCTGACCTAGCCATCTCAATCTATGTAACTTTATAGCCTCGTCGATTGATTTTCCCTCTTTGCCCAACACTCTACGCCCCTAACGTCAACATTACTTACCTTATTTGTTATACCACCTAACGTGAGCAAGAGATCGCAGACATCTATGATCGAAAGCAGTCAACCTTTTCATGTCTTCTACTCGTATTGGCCATGTTTCAGAGCCACAGAGAAGGACGGAGCGAACTGATGAGCAATACACACGTCCCTTGGTTGATAGCCAGATGTCACGCCTACGCCAGAGGTGGTGTAAGTCAGCTGGAGCAGCAGTTCGAGCTGGTGGTGAGATTTCGTCGCCAATCAGGTACAGGCTGGTACAACTTCCCAAATAGGTGAAGTGGTCAACATGTTCTATCACTTCACTCCCTATCACTAAGTTAGGAGTTGACGT